CGCTGAACTGTAGACTCACTGAGGCTATGCAAATATTTCTCAGGGGAATGTCCTTGATAATGCAAGTCTGGGACGCAGAGGGTGGTTGTTTACCTTATGGAAGGAGTCACTCAAAAATTCCTTTAAGTTGCTTCTTCATTCACTTTATATGCTTATTTATAGACCCTTAAATTATCATTTCACTAAGGCTAAGGCAAAAGAAACGTCCAGCAAAACTTTTTTTCCATTTAAGAGACTTAGCAAAGAAGGAAAAGTATTTGTGAAACCTTACTGTGTCAGTGAGAAATTTACTGAAACAGCTTACAGAGTATAATTTAGGGAACACGTCTACTGAGTGAGACTAGATGTGCATATACAGGTATAACCACATTACAGATAGAGTTCAGAGGGCGTAGTTTCTTGTGCAAGGGCCTTAACAAACGCTATGATAAGGACTCATGCCCAGTCCTTGCTGACTGTTCTTTACATATGGGGGTACACTGCATAATACCAAGGAGCATGTAGTAACCACAGTTCAGTGGTTAGTACCCAGCTGGGTGGGCAGGAATCCTAGTACCTATAATACTTTACCACAGTTAACCCTTGATACATTGTTTAACAGCACAACATCTTTGTCCTTCTATGAAATAAGCATGTTGGACTAGATTAGATCTCTAAGCTCTAAAAGCCTATGAATATCTAAATTACTGAATATTCTTAATGTGTTTGGTAGCTGTTTTTGAATTTGAGATGAGCTGGTTAAACTTTTTCAAACTAAAATTTTTTAAATTCAGTGTAAACTTTTTTGCATCACCTACCTCCTTATTCCTCTGGAGAACTGCATCCACACTGGGTATCCTAGCCTTAGGAGAACCCTTGGCTTTGGATCACGTTTGAAGTTCCTGCTCTCAACCCCAGCCCTTGAAGAACTTCTAGCTGTACAAACTTGTTCTACCAGTGATGTAGCTAGTAACACAAACAAAAGCAATCACACAATGCCATTATAAAAACAAGAATTGAAATATAAGCAATTATTAAAAACAGGTAACAAGCTTTACTATAACAAAGTTCACTAAGTATTTTGGGTAGCATTATTAAGGATAATTTAAAAATTGAAGAGAGCAAACCTCTTTTGGAATTTGAATGAAATTATTGTTTAATTAATAAAAGTGAGTGAAATATAAACATTTTAATGCAAAAATTATTCTCAAGACATAACAAGCTAAAAGTCTCACAGGAATTTAGATCCTTCACCCATGATTCCACCTCCCACCTTTTTGTTTATTTGTTTTTGTTTTGCTGTTATTAAGCCTCCTTAAAGCTTTTCTGAATGAGGTGTAACAAGAACAGAGTTGTTGGTACAATGTGTGAATGATTGCTATTAAAAGTTACTCTCCCTAAAATCCACTTTACTCAGAACTTGGGCATTTGCATAATAACATGGGAGAAACTACAGTTTTAGGTCAGCCTAGGAGCTGTAGTGTTAGCATTAATTTTTGACAAAAAGGTACTTGTTCAGCTTCCAGCCATACGAGGCGAAGATAGAAATACAGAGGGATGTGGAGGCAGTGGGATTCATACCTGGGTGTGTCTGACCCGGAGCCCTGTTCTCTCCACCACAGCACAGTGCCTTCATGTACAGAGTAGGCACTCTGCTGAGTACACGTTCAATGAAGTCACTCGTCTAGAACAAGTTAAAATTCCCCTCAGTGAGGTATCCTTGAGATTATAGAATACCTATGCTATTGCTGATTCTCAGTACTTTATACAGTGCCTGGTACACTAAAATACTCAACAGATGTTTGTTGAATTAATAAGTGTGTGTTAAAATGCTGTTGATGCTCTTATATGCTTTAGTGTCTTGTTTATGTTAATACAGAATGTATGTTCACTAATTGAATTATGACTATAGCTACAGATGTGTCTATCATATCGGTCTTCTATGTAGCTGCATTAATTTTGGTTGCTGACCATAAAACTGCTTTTCCTTTAGATTAGAAGGGTCCTTGGAACTTTTAAGCTCTTCGTGTCATTATTTCAAGCACAGGGCATTTAAAACCTGAAAGTTTTAACAGATAAACTATTGGCTTTCATACTGCTGGGCCCTTATATGGAAAGAAACTGTAAGATTATCTCGTCAAACTTACCTCCTACGCTTAAGGAAGCATCACCACTGTCACAATTGCCACTGTTACTTCCATTAATTATCACGTGCCAAGCACTATACAGTTTACACATTGCTCCTATGAACCTTAATGTCTGATATGTTTTTTGAGGTATTATTATTTAACATCTTTATTGGAGTATAATTGCTTTACAATGGTGTGTTAGTTTCTGCTGTATAACAAAGTGAATCAGCTATACATGTACACATATCCCCATATCTCCTCCCTCTTGTGTCTCCCTCTCACCCTCCCTATCCCACCCCTTCAGGAGGTCACAAAGCACCGAGCTGATCTCCCTGTGCTATGCGGCTGCTTCCCACTAGCTCTTTTACATTTGGTGGTGTATATATGTCCATGCCACTTTTTTGAGGTATTATTATCCCCACTTTGACAGTTCAGGAAACTTGGAGTCAATGAGGACAAACAAGTTACCTAAGGTGGCAAAGCTAGGTTGGAACTCAGGCCTGTCTGATCCAAAGCCTGTGCTCTTTTCACTGTACCATACTGTCCTCAACAATATTTCATCCCTGCTTCTACACGGGGCACTCATTATCCTCTAGATGAGTTCGTTTCATTTTTGAACAGCTCTTATTACTAGGGAAAAAAAATTGAGATAATATCTATCCCTCTACCTCTTTTTTCATTAAAGGTCTCTCTGAATCCTGTAAAATGTCTATAGACCTAGAAATCTCATCCTACAAAAAATGGGCTTGGGGTCAGTATTTTTCTGTGTGTGTGTGTGTGTGTGTGTGTGTGTGTGTGTTTTAACCCTTTGAATAAGATTTTGTTGTTTGGATTTGTTTTATGTAATTGTAATCGTTACATAATTTCATAGCCTGTGTTTATTTACTTGACTTTCCATCCTGAAAACTTTTCTTATTTTCTTCTACAGCCTTCATTCATAAATATAATTTTCATAAAGGCCACATGATGGTGAATTTTAAGAAGCAGATTTACCTTGGTTTACTTACAACTACCTTATTGTGAGGCATTTCAAGTTATAAATAACACATTGATAAAGATCTGCGCATACATTGCATTTTGTATATGGGTACATACTGAGCATGACTCTTCAATTCTAGTACAGATATCTGAGTTACACAAGGCTGAAATATTGTACCTTCTTGAAATACTTGATTTGGCTTACAGAAAAGGCCTAGAGGTTGCAAGTTTAGGAAGGCAGCAGGTCTCATTATAAGCCACCTTCATTTCACCAGGTGCCCATGCCTACTGTGTTACCCTGTCTTCAGGCAGGAAGAAGGAGGCAGAGTGGCCTTAGGTAGTCGGGGAAAGGGGTATGTCATCCACATGTGATCTGGGACAAACAGTTTATAAAAAACAAGTGGAAGTTAGTGAAGTTAGATAATCTTTTAATTTCTACTGTAGGGAATGAAGGGTTTGTGGACTGAAGAGTGAACGTTTTATTTCTCTGAACAGCTTGTTAAATGTTCTTCTTATGCTCAGTCAAATTGTGTAAGAACTTGTTTTTGAGTAGATGATAGATTCTGAAGTATTATGTGTACAGATTAAAAATTAAGGCTAAAATTTGATCTTATTTTCGCTTTGTAATGTAATAGGACTTACAGTGCTTTTAATATTCTCCTCTCCTCTCTTTATTCCTTGTCAGCTCCATACATTAAAAATATTTATATGTTGATAAGTGAAGAAAACTGGTTGCAGAAAGGTGTATACAGTACAATACCATTTAGGTAAAAAACAAACAAAAACAACAACAAAAGCAAAACTATGTGCCTGGCACGTAGTAGGTACTCAATAGCTGTTGACTCTGTAGGTATAGCATAAACAGATTTGAAGATATACGATTGGAGAGGTTACCTCTGGAAAGAGGTGTGCAACCTAAGGTGTGTTTTTATCCTATGTACTTTTATGTTTCAGTTTTTTTCAATGAACGTGTGTTACTTTTGTATTTTTTTAATGATTGAAAAGTGAAGAAAAATTTACAATCTAAGGATAGATATCTCCTTCCCAAATAGATGCACTGTAAAGTGCAAGCCAAGCAATATAAGACAGATGCTCTGACTCTATAGAATTATTGCCTCTCCAATAATCAAGAAAAGAGAGGAGCATTGATCAAACCTATTTGCTTGGTGCCATTTCCATGTAATCTAATAAGCTTTTGTAAATAGAATTTTTCTAAGGAAATTTTCAACCACGCAAAAATAGAACTATATCTGCCTCCTAGCATCAATAGTTCTCAACACATGGCCTGTTTTGTATCATCTATAGCCCCCACACCCACCCCACTGGATTATTTGCAAGCATATCTTAGATATTTCATCAATAAATACAGCAGTCTATGTATCTAAAAGATAAGGATGCTTTTAACACAACCAGAATACCCATATCACACTTAAGGATGAGCAATCATTCCTTTATATCAATCATCTAAGAAGTTTTTAATACTCTGAGACTGAATTACTAACTTTCAGTTTAAATTGCTATTTTATTTAACTTTCATTGTTTGTATCCTTCAAGTACTTTTTTTTTTCAAGTACTTTTAAACTAGTGTCTTTTTTCCTTTCAAATTTAGTATACGTTTTTTCCCTAAAGGCGTAATGAAACCAAAACTGTATGGTTTTTGCTTTTGATACCTTTGCTTGTATTTCTTAAAATAAAAACGAGATGCTTGAATAAATGGCTGGGTATCTTCACCTTCAAGTTTTAAAAATGATTCAGGTATATGTTATTGCTCTTTACTACATTAGACTGGAAAGCTAGCCATACCTTGATTGTAATAGTAAATTCACACAAGTCACAGGTCATGATCAAAATTATTCTTTTTTTTAAGTGCTTTTCTGATATCCTGTCTGACTTTAATATTTTTGTTTTACATAGGTCTCTAATTAATAGAAGATGGCAAAGCCCAGCCACAGCAGCTACGTCCTTCAGCAGCTAAACAACCAAAGGGAATGGGGTTTCCTCTGTGACTGTTGTATTGCAATTGATGACATTTACTTTCAAGCACACAAAGCAGTTCTAGCTGCCTGTAGCTCCTATTTTAGAATGTTTTTCATGAATCATCAGCATAGTACTGCACAGCTGAATCTCAGCAACATGAAAATTAGTGCTGAGTGTTTTGATCTTATTTTGCAGTTTATGTATTTAGGAAAAATTATGACAGCTCCTTCCAGTTTTGAGCAGTTTAAAGTGGCAATGAACTACCTACAGCTGTACAATGTTCCTGACTGTTTAGAAGACATACAGGATGCAGATTGTTCTAGTTCAAAATGTTCATCTTCTGCTTCTAGCAACCAGAACAGCAAAATGATATTTGGGGTAAGAATGTATGAAGACACTGTGGCTAGAAATGGCAGTGAAGCCAATAGATGGTGTGCAGAGCCAAGTTCAACAGTAAATACACCACATAATAGAGAGCCTGATGAAGAGTCTTTGCAATTAGGTAATTTTCCTGAACCATTATTTGATGTATGTAAGAAGAGTTCTGTGTCCAAATTATCTACTCCAAAAGAACGTGTCTCACGACGCTTTGGACGGAGTTTTACCTGTGATAGTTGTGGATTTGGCTTTAGCTGTGAGAAGTTACTAGATGAGCATGTGCTAACCTGTACTAACAGACATTCATACCAAAATACAAGATCCTACCACAGAATAGTGGATATTAGAGATGGAAAAGACAGTAATATCAAAGCTGAATTTGTTGAAAAGGATTCTTCTAAGACATTTTCTGCACAGACGGACAAATACAGAGGAGACACAAGCCAGGCTGCTGATGACTCAACTTCAACCACTGGAAGCAGAAAAAGTAGCGCAGTGGAGTCTGAACTAGCCAGTGAAGAAAAAAGCAGAGCTGCTGAGAGGAAAAGAATCATTATCAAGATGGAACCAGAAGATATCCCTACAGATGAACTGAAAGACTTTAACATTATTAAAGTTACTGATAAAGACTGTAATGAGTCCACTGACAATGATGAATTAGAAGATGAACCTGAAGAGACATTTTATAGATACTATGTTGAAGAAGATGTCAGTATTAAAAAAAGTGGGAGGAAAGCTCTGAAACCTCGGATGTCAATAAACACTGATGAAAGAGGTGGTTTAGAAAATATGAGGCCCCCTAACAACAGCAGTCCAGTACAAGAGGATACTGAAAACGCATCCTGTGAGTTGTGTGGGCTCACAATAACTGAGGAGGACCTGTCATCTCATTACTTAGCCAAACACATCGAAAATATCTGTGCATGTGGCAAATGTGGACAAATACTTGTGAAGGGTAGACAGCTTCAGGAACATGCCCAGAGATGTGGAGAGCCCCAAGACCTGACAATGAACGGATTAGGAAGTACTGAGGAGAAGATGGACATGGAAGAGAATCCTGACGAACAGTCTGAAATCAGGGATATGTTTGTTGAAATGTTGGATGATTTTAGGGACAATCATTTCCAGATAAACAATATCCCAAAAAAGCAGTTATTTAAACATTCTGCCTGTCCTTTTCGATGTCCTAATTGTGGCCAGCGTTTTGAAACTGAAAATCTAGTGGTTGAACATATGTCTAGTTGCCTAGACCAAGACATGTTCAAGAGTGCCATCATGGAAGAGAATGAAAGGGATCACAGACGGAAGCATTTTTGTAATCTGTGTGGGAAAGGATTTTATCAGCGGTGTCACTTAAGAGAACACTATACTGTTCACACCAAGGAAAAACAGTTTGTTTGTCAGACATGTGGAAAGCAGTTTTTAAGGGAACGTCAGTTGCGACTCCACAATGATATGCACAAAGGCATGGCCAGGTATGTCTGTTCCATTTGTGATCAAGGCAACTTCAGAAAACATGACCATGTACGGCATATGATTTCTCATTTATCTGCTGGTGAGACTATATGCCAGGTCTGCTTTCAGATATTCCCAAACAATGAACAGTTGGAACAGCACATGGATGTTCACCTGTATACATGTGGAATATGTGGAGCAAAGTTTAATTTGAGGAAAGATATGAGATCACATTATAATGCCAAGCATTTGAAAAGAACATAAGTGATTTTCTACTGTATAATGTTTAGCTGATAGGAGACAAAACACCAAAGCAAAGGATATGAGCTATTTAGAAAATGAATTTATAAGATGAATTGTTGAAAAAAATTTTAAGGCCCTTTACCTTTAATATTTTTTGTTTAGGATCTTAAGTATCTACATTTTAGGTGTTATTAAATGTTTATCATTTTTGTTATTTTTAATAGAATTCTTTGTTTTTAGTTTGTTTTAGCTATGATTAAAATTACTTTTAAATGTAGACTACAAGTGGTTGTTACCCCTTCAGTGACTATGAAAGTTTAGTTTTTTATCAATAAGGTGATGACTTCACTATTTTTATGTTGTTTTTTTTTTCTAAAGTTTCCCTGTGAAATTTTAAACCCAACATCATTGGCCATTCCTGTTTAAATTTTTTTTTAAAATTGTTTGTTTTAAATAATTAGTTATTTGAAACTATCCCATTCACTGTAGCTTTTTTTTTTTTTTTTTTGGAAGTTGAACAGTGATTTAGCCACTGTTTATTCCCTGTCTTGTCAATGAAATTCGTATTCTTAAATTGACAACTTAATAGGCAGGTTAGGTGCACTGAATCTAACCTTGAAGGTTGACATGGGCTCAAACTTGGCCTAAAAAGATTGATGAACCTAAGGAAATTCCTATAAATGAATATTTCCTATAATTGATAAAATATTATCATTTAATAATCACATTTAAAACTTATATTAAGTGTAAAACCCAATGACTTTACCCCACTTGAGAAATTAGTGGGGACAAGTCATTTTGTTTTGTGATATTAAATTTAACTATGATAGTTAATTAAAAAGGCATATCTTGTATTCATTTAAAATAATTTAAAATATTCTGATTTCTCAAGTGTGTTAGTTTATGAATTATTTTTGTTTATAAATAGACTTTAATAGCTTTCTAGGAATATGACATCTAAAGGAAAATGATTTTTCACCTTTAAAATGACATACTTTTGGAACTTTGAGATTTGAGAAAGCTGCCATGTATATTGACAAATCTAATAAAATAAAGAAATCAATTACAAATCTGGTTGTTCTATCAAAGTAGAGTGTGCAAAAGTCATGTCTTGTGTTTTATACTAAGATTTGGAGAGAGAATGTGTTATGGCAAATTGCAGTTTATCAACATGCTTTATTTTTTTTTCTGTAAAGGACTAAAATTTGAGAACCGTAAAATAATCACAGAACATATAAGTGGAAATAGTTTATCATTTTTAAGATAAAGTAGTATTACTGTTAGTTGTTGCTGACACAGGGTCTACACGAATTACATGTGAATTAAAACACTGGCAAAACTGGCCCACAATCAACATATCTGTTGAATAGAATGCCTTTTAATGTGAATTACTTGCATTATAATGCCCTTCTCATAATGAAAGGGATTTTAAATAACTCCTATATTTGCATTATAATGCCCTTCTCATAATGAAAGGGATTTTAAATAACTCCTGTATTTAAAAGTATAATTTTGTGATTATGAACAGTAATTTAACGGTATTGTTCTTTTTGTTTACATCACATTTTTAAGATATGCAAGTCATATTTTTGTATACAATTTGCATAAAAGAACAAGTTGCCAAGAGAATTGAGAGACATATTGACTAGCATAGGTTTAGTTGAAAGAGTGTGAGCTCAGAGATTTGTGGGGAAACGTTGAGGTGTTAAGTAAGAATTGAAATAGTACAGGAGCCATGCAGTATTAGAACAAGTAGAGATGGGGGAAATACACAAAAAGATAAATGAGAAATCAGGAATTTTTTAAAAGCCATATTGTAGAAAAAGCAAGAAAATTGTTTCATCTTAGCCTTGGGTACAATAGTTTATCAAGTAATTAGATCTGAAATACAACTTTCAATGAAATATGGTATATATATTACTGATAGGAACCTAATAAGAGTTCTGTAACTAACCCAGAGACCATCAGAGAGTAAAGAGAGAATATCGACTCAAAACAAATTTCCAAACTATATAGCATCTTAGCGGACATCATTTTCTTTGGGACCACTTTTTTCCATGACCCTCTTCAAAACCTCTATTGCAATGGCTTTCCCACCATTAAAGAACAGGGGTCTTTCTAAATACTACCACTCTGTAAAAAGGATTGTTTAATCCAGTAGGAAAGGGGGTTTAGTTTTAGACACATACTAACAGCCAAGAATTAGCAAGCAAATATATAAACATTAAACATAATCTCTAATTTTACATAACTGAGGTGTTTATAGTTTCAGAAAGCCATACCTCACGATGTGTTTTCTCCCAGTTTCATGTTACAGGACACACACACCTTTTGTTTTGTTTTGCAACTAGCTACAGCAGCACAAGCTTCTTTGAGTATAATGTACAATTTTCCTTATTAAGGCAAAGAGTTCATTTAAAGACTACTTGCCTTTTAAAACTAGGGAGAATTAAAACTATCCAACACCTCTCTCCAGCCCTGTTTCCTCTCACTTCTTTCCTCTCTCTCCCGCGGTGGAGCTACAGAGCTGTACCTACTTACTATTGCTTCTTGCCCTCCAGTGCTGTGAAGGCAATGAATCAAGGTTGTGGAAGTTGCCTTCTCCTCCTGCCTTTATAATTTATGTGATTAGGCTCCAAATCTGAAAATGAAGGGGAAATCTAGATAGATGTATGTGGAATCTTGTTTCTCTTTTTGTCTCACATAGAGTCTTGCTTAACGGGCCTTTTCTACTCCAACAGAAATCCTGGAGGAATGGAGTCAGTGCTTAACAAGCTCGGCACCAATTACAGTGCAGCTCAGATGTTTATAACTTTTTAGTAAACAGGACTAAGAATCTGAGAGGTTAATAAAGCATAACTAAAGCAGTAGTGGATTACAACTCAGAAATTTGTCTTAATCTCTCCCATATTTTTAAAGTAAAAATATTCAGAGAAATGACTCACGTGAGTAAAATGGTACATGGCTAATTTTTAAGGCATGAAGTTTGAGTATGAACAAAAATTAGAAAAAAGAACAAGGATTCCAGGGGCTAGATATAAAAATTAAAGAATTAAAATAAGGACAGGGCTTCCCTGGTGGCACAGTGGTTGAGAGTCCGCCTGCCGATGCAGGGGACACGGTTCGTGCCCCGGTCCGGGAAGATCCCACACGCCGTGGAGCGGCTAGGCCCGTGAGCCATGGCTGCTGAGCCCGAGCGTCCGGAGCCTGTGCTCCGCAACGGGAGAGGCCACAGCTGTGAGAGGCCCGCGTACCGCAAAAAAATAAAATAAGGACAGAGCTTTCTAGAGTAGTCAGCACCAATTAAAAGGAAAAATAATAGACTAAGTAAAAATCGTACTTAAGTACTGTAGTTGAGAACAAAAATATGAACAAGGTATAAAAATTGAATAAAAAAATAAACATTTGAAGTTTTCTAGGTGAGGTGAGTAGAATGGAAGTTATTTGATAGGTTCAAACAATTTGACTAATTCAATTAGAGCTACAGAATGCCTAATAAAACAAATTTTATGAACATGCCAAGGATATGCATAAATATGTGAGATAATATACCAAAGTTTATATTCTAAAACGAGTGGGAAGAGAGGCTCGTGGTGGTTGGCAACTTTCTCATTGATTAAACAATACCTATTCCTCTATATCACTAGTTAAGGAACTTCTGTATTTAATAGATCTCTGGAAAATTCCCCAAAGAACCAGTCTAACAGTTAAGTTAAACATTAAACTTGTCATTGTTGTTAACAAAACACTAAATTAGTACCAACCAGAAGAGAAAACCTGAGTGTGTATGTGCACGCATAGTTGAGAATAAAGCAATTTGGTATATTAATTCTAAATGGGTTTTATGAGTTACACATTTCTTTTTTTTGCCATTAATCTACTTTGATCAGTTCCTCACCACCGCCACCTCTTTTGTAACATATGCTTCTCAGCGATACAAGCCTGTGCTGTAAAGGCATCCTAACATTGATAATGCCTAAGATCCCAGGGTATCAAAAGGCACTGTGGGAACATATCCTTGTGGAATGTCTCCCATCTCCTGATACCTGAGGTGCAGTAAATGGGGTGACAGGATGAATGCCAGGGAACTGAAGCAAGTAGAGTTAGATTTGGTGTTAAGAACCTGAAGCTGTGGCCCGGATTTGGAAACCTATGAACCACCCATCCCAGGGCTCTCAGTAATCCCATCATCCATTTCATTAGCACTCTTTGTACTCTGCTAAACGCTTTATAGATTAATTTTAATTAATCCTCACAGCCTTATAAGGTAAGTATTCTAATTTTCCAGATGGGAGACTGAGGTTCAGAGACACTGAGTATTTTTCCTAAGATCACACAGAAACTAAATACTAGAGCTGGAATTTGAAACTAGGCCTATTTGATTTCTACATTCCTACTTAACCACTAAGCTACACATTCTGCCTAACAAAAAGTACAAAGAAAGGCCTCTTCAGCTCAGTAACACATGTGACAAAGCTTCTAGGAGACTGTGCTCCTTGTTCATCATGTGTCATCTACTGCGCTTAGTAAGGTCGCTGGTAATAGTGGGTACCTAATGAACGTGTCGAATAATGTGAAAATACACCAGTCCGAAACAAAACATCTGTATTTGAGCGGATCATTCAGAATGATCTTTAGAAATAATTACTAACTACTCTTATGTTTTAATTTTCCTTTATTTAAACTTAAAACATTAAGTGGTATATCAGCCATTTTTCTGGGCCCAGGATAGGTGCTCAACTAAAAACTAATTTGAGTTCAACTTCTATATTTCTACCTCTGACTTTTTGCCCCTCTGTTTTCCCTATTCCCGCTCTTGATGTTTTAATCTCTCCCACCAGTCACCATTTCCTTTTATCAGTTATGAGACTGATAAGTAGACTAACTCAAATCATTTGAAAATCTTCCCACAAAAAATCAGGACCCCAGAGTAATCAGCTTTCCTCTTTTTGCCTTAACAGATGATGTGGATAAGAAATTTTTCATTTGTTTGGCTAAAAAACAAAATACTTAATTACCATATTGTAATTGATTAAAGTTTATAGAGCAATCTAAGTTTGTCTAAAAATAAAAGTCGGTTCTAGCCATTTATAATTCAATTTACCAAAAATACCTATGTATTTCTAGTGTAAACTTAACAATGTTACTTGTAAAAGAAATGACATTTCAGGAAACAACAGTTGAATATCCACCCTAACCTAGCAGCAAACCTTTAAGCAATGAATAGCCTAATGGTTTAAGTGAAACAACGCCCCTCCCAATCTAATCTGATTTTAATTTCATGCATCTATTGCCTGATTTCTAAAACCTATACAATAGGTTTTACTATTACTATGTTAAGTCTACTACTTTAATGATCTCTCTACCAACTGCCAAATGTTATTTTTTTTGAAGTGAGAATAGAAGAATAAATGGTGAAGATTCCATAGATAATATTTATATAATCACTTAGGTGGCCCACTTTCATTGCCTTCTATCAAACTCAAGGACCTATTCCTTGGTAACATATGGGCAGAGTCTCATAATAAGACCAGGTGAAATTTAGCCACTTATAAATTTATATGCGGGTAAGAGGCAAAAGTGCAAGGGTTTAGAATGTTTGTGTCTCTAAATATTGGTAAATATAAATATTAACTAAATGACAATAGCGGCTTATAAATTCATGCTAATTTTGAACCAATTTAATACCACTTACATACTTACATGCATGTGCTTAGTTGACTTTAGCATTAAGAAGTTAAATCCATATAAGTTGCTCTCTTACTATTTTTAGGAGAACCAAATCATTGAGGTCCATTATTAGTGGCAGAATTGTTCATCCTTTCTATCAGAATCCACCACAGATCACTAGTGGGCAGGGAGCCATTTATAATTTTACTCATCATCTTACTCATTTGCTGATAAAAAAGATGGTGTGAAGATTACAATTCAGTATTTGGCTCTGAATTAAATGTATCAATGTACTAATCACCACTGTAATAAGTAAAGATCACAGGAAACTCTAGGGCCAAAGATGACGCAAATGTAAAAGACATGATTTCATGAGTCAGGAATATTAATAATTTTATCTGAGAAAATTTGCATAACTCTGTACTTACCTATTTGAGAAAGGAATAGTTAGGTAGACAGCTTATGAAATCCCAGTTAAGCTTTATTTTTAAAGTTACTATGTTGTTTTTATTCTACTTCAACCAGTTGCTTCTACCAATCAGAATCAGCAGAGCTCATTTTTAGATGACAGAAATATAAACATCCAGATTATGAAAGTCATCGTTTCTTTCAAATGCTTATGTGTTCCCTGATGTGGAAAAAAATATTTAAGAGACAATTTCCTTTTTACAAAATTAGGGCAAATCATTGCTGTGAAAAATA